GGTAACCCGGGCGACGACCGAGCCGGTATAATTTTCGATGGCGTTAATGCCATGAGTGGCAGTTGGCTAAATTTTACGCAGAGTTGCCACGGTCTCTAAGCTTCCTCCTTTCTCATCCGGGGTTGGGACCGGCAACGGCGGAGTTCGCAGCGGATACCCAACAATAACAATGGTATACAATTCACCGGTTACGGAGTGAAAAGACGTCTAAGAGTGAAGAAGGACAAGTTTGGGACCTGCTTACCGAGGATAAGGCCATTTTTCGGTGCTTAAGAGTACTTTGAGTACCTGTAGCAACGGCGTACGATTCGCCTGTGAAGCATCAAGGAACAGATATTAGCATTTCTGTAGATGATATTACACAAGGTGTGAAAACCTTGAAAAGTGGTAAGGCTGCTGGAATTGATGAAACCCGCCCTGAAATGCTCAAGGCATTAGGCGAACAAGGTATGTGCTAGCTTACACATGTGTGTGAAACTGCAATGGCTACGGGAAGACATCAGCGGTTGTTGTACCCCTATTGAAGAAGGGAAACCACGGTAATGCTCCAATTATCGAGGCATTACCCTAGCCTCCCGGGTAAAGTCTATGCAAACGAGGAACGAGGTACCGCGCAATGTCCGGCTCCAAGATACGAAAACAGTAGGGTAGCTTTCGCGACCATATATTCGCCGTACGCAAGACTGTTGAGAAATCGCAGGAGTTTGCCATCCGTTGAACATGTGTTTTGTTGACTTAAAAAAACCTATGACGGGGTCTAACGCAACGTCTGTGGCCATGCCTTCGAGCATAGGGATAGATGGCCAGCTGCTAAAGGCCATCCAATCACTGTATTCTGATAGCCGGTGCTGCGTCAGAGTTAATGAAGTTAAGTCAAAGCCCTTCAACGTTCGCACTGGTTTCCACCAAGGCTGGGTCCTGTCCCCTGTGCTATTCGTGTTGCACATGAATGGAAGAGTTAGGGGCAGCCAAGGCGATGGGTGTTTCGGTGTAGAAGATGTGGAGACAAGAAGGCTGCTGCTTGCAGACGACCTTGTTTTATTGGCATCTTATGAAACTGATCTACAACGCTCACTGGAAAGGTTCGCTTGTCGCGGTCGAGTGCTTTGTGGCGAGCATACATGTGGAAATATCTACAATAAAACGTCTAATTCTTGCTCGTTGTCTTGCCCATTGTTCTCTTCAAGTAAACGGAAAAGCAGGGGAACAGGCGAAACAGATCAAGTTAAAATACCTCGGCATCATGTGTACCCGCGATTCTTCGAGGGCAAGAGTAGCTGTAAGCATTCTTATAAGTTAAATCGATAGATTATCAAATGAGCTGCCTTCTACCGTGGAACCTTATGTATTAATGAATCTAAGTCTGGGAACCGAAAATTAACAAATCGATCATCGCGTTTAATGCACAAGCTTCCCTATGCCAGGTATACTGATGCATTTTTCCGTGCTGCAAGAACTTGTTCGCACCAGGTATTCCATTGCTCACAGAAAGCCAATAAGTTCATGTCGTTAT